TGTAATTTAAAAACTATTAAATTAAATCTAGAAAAGACATATAGAGCGAAAACATACGAAAAGAAGAGTATTTGAGAGAATACATGAATAAGAGAACATGCCAAAAAAACACATAAATAAGCAAAAACAATCCAAATCCAGGTTTGAGGCACTGCAAGAGGACACATTTGAAAATTCTATAAGTCCCGTTAAAAGTAGGAAATGAACAATCTAACACACAATGATGCACTAAACAAACATGTTATTCAAAACACAAAACATCGAATACAATCAAAGGATACAAAGTAGTTGACAGAGCAACATAATAAAAAAACACATAAATAAGCAAAAACAACACAATTTCCAGTTCCGATGCACTGAAAGAGGACACATGTAAAAATTCTATATGCCCCATTGATCGAAGTAAATGAACAACAAAACACAGAATGATGTTCTAAACAAATATGTTATTCCAAACACAAAACATCGAATATAACCAAAAGATATAAAATAGTTGACAGAGCAACATAATTAAAAACACATAAATAAACAAAAAAACAATCCACCTTCCAGGTCTGAGGCACTGAAAGAGGACTCATGTAAAAATTCGAAATGCCCCATTAAAATTAGTTAATGAACAATCAAACGCAGAATGATGTTCTAAACAAATATGTTATTCAAAACACAAAACATCGACTACAATCAAAGAACATAAAATTGTTGATAACAGTTATACAGCAAGTCTGCAGTTTTGAACACTTTGAGTAAATGAGAGATGAATTTTAGGAAATGCACATATATTTGTTTGAATCCTACTGCGAGCATGCTATATATTTACAACTAGAAAAATCAACTTCTTATATTGTTGTGCAGAATGCAGATCAAGAAAAACAAATGAAAACGAATCTACACATATGTATAAATAATATATATTTCATGTTTTGCACAACGATCTATAAGCGGGATTCGGCCACATATATTTGCATTTTGAAAAAATATTTTTTCTTAAACCAATTGTTTACATCACAAGGAAAAATACCAGAAATGTACTTCATTGATAAAATTCAATCTATAGACGAGTTTATTATCTCAGACATCTGTTACATTAACTGTTTATATTTTAAAATGTATGTATCATAAACAGAAACATATCAGAAGTTCAAAGGTTTACGATCATAACAGATGACACATGAATTTTAAATGTAAACACAAACATAACGAAAGTGATAGAACAGCATAATAGAATGCACGGAGCCTCACTAAATCTACAATTTCGGATGTAGATGAGGCGAAGCGATGTTCTACAAAAAGGAGAGCATATCTTTCCCCTCATACGAAACTGTCTGCTAAAACCAAGTAAGCAGGTCAAACACAGTGAACTCCCATTAAAAACAATGATCAACTGTTAGTATGTAAGTCAATTGTTTTTTTTTCTCTCGACTTAAAGCAAGTACTGTGCGCGTGCTTGGAAGTTTTCAGCTTCATGATTGTCCCTTTCCAATTTAACTTGCACAGTTGGTCTCCAATACTAAGGAATCTCCTATTTTTATCACAAGAGAATTTATATGATCATCAGCCGTTTTTAAATCATCATACCTTTCCAAAAAATAGACTGACATGATTATATGGGACAACAAGAACTAAACTTTTGCTGGCACACGAGGTCAACGTGAATGAATATTTGTCTCAGCTTTATTGCAGGCCTTGCATTTGCTTTTCTGTCATAAATATGTCTGATAGTCTTTTTTCGTGATCAAATTTGTCTTGAACATGCGCAGGCATTGGACACTCTTTCAGAGGAACTGTATTAATTCCCCTTTATAATGAGTTTAATGTGTAATTGCTCATTTAAAAAAAAATCTGTGCAATATGTTACGAAAGTGTTATTTGTTTTCGTCTTTTTTTCATATTGGCTCTTCTCTTATTTGTCCTTCTGTCATTAGCAGTCTCTAATTCTATCCTCCATGACTATAGTTAGAATTGTTTATTTGAGATATTTTAGACATATAGCAAATAAACACACATATTGGTAGATATACGCCTTCTCTTTCGAAGGAATAAAGTGCATGGTACACGCTTACAAAAAAAAGTAAAATAACAAAAATACCGAACTTCAAGGAAAATTCAAGTAGGAAAGTCCCTTAAATTTAGTGATTCGATAAGGATTTATCAGGTCTTGTGTTTTGTTTAGTTTGTTTAAACATTATAATATGATTTTTAAAACAACATATTCAGACCTATACAGCAGTTCACAACATCAGTACAATAGATTTCAAGACGCTACTGTTGTATTTTAAATTTATCCAAATCTCATCAGTACTAAACTATTTTTATCTCGAATACAATTTACTGAACGATGTCAATGTACAGCATATTCTACAAATTCCGATCAATGGCCAATTGCTATAACTTTGAATGGTGTATTCAATTCAACAATAATGTACAAATGTCTTCTAACATACATAAGGCAATTATTGCACATATTTAATAATAGAAAGGAACAAGGGTGTAACCTTAACCGTTTATTGTACAACTATTCCAGTGTCAACCAACAAAACAGAGCATGCAACCAAACATTACACAAAAAACTTAACACCGAGTAAATTCCAAGGAAAATGGAATTGAACTTTAGTTCATATGTGTAAAAATTCATCAAAGACACCAGGTTTATAATTTGTTCCGCCAGATGCTTGTTTTGTCTACATAATATTCACCAGAGTCGCTCGAATGAAAAGTTTCCAGGCCAAATCAAACACAAGTTGAAGAGTATTGATAGAAATTCCTGTTTAATGGGCATATAGCTTCAAAATTATTTGGTGTCCACTGTGCCATCCACCCAGTGTAGTAAGTGCTTCGATACTGACATTATTAAAGTGATATACTTTTATTGTAAAATTTAGTGTTAGATTATGTTATGATATTTAACGAACTCCTTAGGTTTTTGTCCACTCCCCCCTCCACCCCAAGCATAAATCGCCTTGGCCGTATATGGCACAATTTTCTGCATGTTCGGTTTTTAATGATTATTTGATTCAATTTATTATGCTAGAGAATCGATTTCAAAAATAGAAAGAGTGGAGATTGCTTTCATTTATTTTTTTCTTTATTTTGAGTTTGAGTAAAGCGCCACCAAATTATAAGCCTGGGCTCTTTGATGAGTTTTTACTCGTTTTTGTCTTCATGAACAGTCTTACTGTGTACGAGAACATTATTTTTTTCGTATATGATAAATTAAGTGGTAATCTATTTTCGGCCAGTCTAGACCAATACTTCATTAACCGGAAATGTAGTAACTATTTTTTATACTCCAGGGGTTAATAACTGTGTTTACAACGAACGTAATTTACCTTGACTAAAACAACAAATCATCGCCTTTATATAGCTCATATGCGACTAACACCATTTTTGATTGATAAGGGATAAAGAAGAACTACGTTTATTTTATTGCCAAAAATATAATTAAGAATCTATCATCATTTTAATTAGTGAAATGCATTTTGTTTTTATTCTATTTTGTTTTGATATGACGGCAATCTAATTAAAATCAAATATCCGCACTCGTTCATTTTTTATGCTTGGTCGTTGCGATTGAGAACGATTAGAATCGTACATTTAACGGTAACTGTACGATTTGGTTGACTGACAAGATGGTTCTGAGTCTATTTTCACAAGAGACATGTTTTCACAGTTTAACATGTCTTAGATAACACAACAAATCTTTTGTTCTGTACATTTACCGACGATTTACCATTCCCCCTGTTATGAATTTTGAATAAGTATGGATTCATATGTCGGGTGATCTATTCAGAATAGGGGACGCTTACACCGTCGACGCATTCGGTATCGGCTCATTTGGAGTTCATGTGATTCCCTCGGGTTTTATTAATTTTTTGTTGTATATTCTAAATGGACAATAAGACTAAACCATCAGTAAACATCTGTTGCACGAGTCATCTATCCATGCACAATCTGTGTATTTCCGATACATTATCAAATCAATTCAGGGATTTCGTTTCCACAAACTACTTATAAAACATTTATTAAATTCGTTCAAATATATAAATCTTATAACGAATGAATTATCATATTCTAATTAATTTTGTACGTTGATGTTGTTGATAGAGCTCGTAAATTCAGATAATATCCAAATGACGTATTGTTCATTTCAATTACTCTTTCTCAAATGTTATCAATTGTAGTAAATAAGCTATTTCAATATTTTCCCTTTCTGTACTAACATTGATTTTATAGGTAATTTGTACATTTTCCCTCTGATCTTACTGCCTAATTATTTTAAGATCATGGACAAGACTTAATACTCGAAAATATTAGGCAATGACGTCATGTATCAGTGTAGAAACTTCGCGTGCTCAAATCCATCCGCGTCAATTTATCAATGAAACGCATGCGACTTCATTCATACAACCTAACAACTATCCCAACGTTTTGCGCGCGTAAAAGTAGTTTTACTTACTATTTCATTTAACATCATATTCTCAACCATAAATATACAGTTAAGATAAATTGCCGATAAAGAAAATAATGGCATTTTATTTTTTGATACTGACCTCATCAGCTCGAACATCAGCTCGCCCTAGCTGGCTCGCTTGATATTCTTTCTGATAAAGGCAGTAACAAAACAAAAAATAAATGTTTGTTCCACCCTCTTGCATTTACGAATTTTGGTTTATACAATATAAGGAAGTGTATTCTCTTAACGAGTGCATGTAACGAACGTACTGGTAGCTCTGTTGAGAACATCAAAGTATTAAATTCAAAAGTTTGCTATGTACTGTAAATGAAAAAAAAAGATAGTTATTTCGAAGAATCGGTCCATAAACTATTGCAGGAGAGAATGTCTCTTCCTCAATTCCGAAGATTGTTTCATAAAGGTATAGATACCCGACTAGGTAAATCTTGAAATCTGTTTCAATCTGGTAAACCAGAATAGTATTCACTATCATAGTTAACGAGAAGAGCATTCCACTTTGTTTGCAAGAAACAAAAGTGAAAATAAAATGTCATGCAGTTTATTATTTCATATTGGTCACTTTCGCTGTTAAAAAATACACAGATAGAAATCCACGAAACCGATTTCAGTGAACATGTCTATTGTTGAGAATGATAGAAACGTAAGGTTCCGACTTCACTGTCCTTCACACAAATTTTCTACCAGACATTCGAAAATAAATGAAGATCACCATGAACACCATTATGTCTAATATGCTTACTTATGAGAGTTAGTGGTTGTTGAATGTGCGCTTTGAAGTAATAGCTGCTAGGTACTTCAGTCTTACAGATTATTACACAGTCAACGTCTCCACTTAACATTAAGTGCAATGTGTTCATCTTCTTCACTGGCCGAAATTCGATACAGTTTTTGGCTTTTTATTCGTGAAAACAATTCCCAACAAGTCTATAATGTGGTATACAAATTATTGAAAGTTTGCACAGTAAAAGATGTTCTAAACTTCAATATGCGCTAAATTTACATTCCGTCTAATGTTATTATGATCGCCCTTAGATAGTAAATGATTTACTATATATGAGGACTTACAGGATATTTTAATTTCCTTCCATTTTGATTAAAAGAAGTTTAGTCTTCCGACAAAAACAATAACATCAGGATATTGTAAAATATTTAACATACTACTAGGTCATTAACCATGTTAAAGTAGAACGTAATTACACAGTTACAGAATACAGAAGCTGATTTGGTGAACTGTTTTTGCACTGTGAATTAGCTTGGTGAGTGATGCATGCATAGCAAGAGACGGTTACCCTTTCGAAACATCCGGTCTAGCTTCTTTTGTAGTTGATGCAATTCCCTTAGGTTTTCTTTGTTGCCTCGATTAGGGTCTTCTCGATCTTTTTACAAGATTTGAATATCGGTAAAACAACTGTCGCCTTAATTCATCAGTTATGCTTAAAACAAAAATATGGAAATGCGAAAGTGTTTGCCAGGGGAGACGTTAAACCAAAAATATCATTAGAAAGACGCCGAACTTACCGAAGGAGATTATTGGCAGATGGATTATAATCTGAATTATTCAACACATGTAAAACAATAATAATTCACATGGATTGATTAACTTACCTTATTTGTTATTAATCAATGAATAAAGAGGAAATACGTCAATAGAGAATCTTTTTTTTTATATTGAAGAACAGTAAAGTTTTATTCTTCGGGCACGAACGAAAAAAGAAATGAAAATAAGGGCTTTGCTCGCAATCTTTAGAATGCAGGCACTAATTCTTAACCATCACTGTCTTTCATAATAGCAACAGATGTGTTTAATAAAATACAAACTTCGATGTTTGTGAATCAAAACACTAAAACATTTATATTTCATTCACCAAAAGTGTTAAAATAGATATGCTAGACTAAGTGGACTATCGTCGATGGTATCATGCGTTCAACTGACTCTATATCCGTATCCGCATGATTAAAATGATGAGGTATAAACGTTCATTTAATATTATCTATTTGTAACAACATCAGGATTACAAGTAGTATCCAAGCAGAATGTTGCTGTACAACTGAGATTTATTTTACAATTTTGATGATGATACAGTTTTTCTTAAAATATGGGTCTTGGAATTGTAATTGCAGGGTTTTCAGAAATAGATGTTGAACACAATTAAATTAGTACCATACGTCTACCTTTGTCCAATTTTGTATTACTAGTATTAAAATATTATCATGAATAAACTTTAATCATACAATTACCTTTAAAATAGAATTGAATGCTGTTTTTATAAAACTTATACGAAAGACATGCAAGTGACGATCACTGTTTGAATGAAGCGAGGACGTATTTATCAAATTTTCTTCATTATTATACATGTATATCATCGGATAATTATTTGTTGTTTCATATTTCTATTGATTGTTTATTTTTCACTATATTTAATATGTCCATTACTCTTTCAGTTGTGAAGTGCACGAACAATGTGAGGAAAGGAGGTTGATTTCTTTGGGTGTGCGGAGTAAAAAGTTTATAAATTCATACACCTGGATTGCATTCATGCAAAATGAAAGCAACTGACGCAATCAGATGATTCGTTTTAAGCTAATAAAACTCAGTATTTGTATGAATTGAAAACCGGCCGTAAATATAGTTTATTTGGAGAATAAAAGTACACCGATTGGGTGACATTTAGAACATTTGGATATTTCGTTTTGTTTTATTTTTCCCGAATGTAAACCCGCCCATTACAGTTACCCAATCAGGTTATCAAATGCAAAATATGTTCATGCATTAGCGGCATGCAGTAAGAGAAAAAAAACTAACTGACCTCTGACTTCATTGTTATAACTTGTAGTAATAGTATTCAAATTAATTTCTTCTCATAATTTTAGATTTATCAATCCAGGGATATTTATATAAACATATTTTCAATATCAGCTTCCGGGATAGGTATTTCCGATGTAAACATTTTAATACGTTCTTAAGTGACTGTCTAAGGTAAGTCCTTTAAGTGTTCCAGGAAGACATAAGTGGCTAGGATTGTTTATGAGAGGCTCAAGTTTGTTTACCAATTGAACCAATTTGTAATAATATGTTTATATATCTTCCTTATATAGTATGTCATAATTTAACTATTTTAATGAAATGTACGTGATTTCATAGTATTTTATTTCATAACTACTGCAACAGTTAAATAAGAAAGGTTATTAGTATACCTAACTATTATCAACTGTTCACTGGTATAATCACTTTGTTGCAAGTACATTTGGACATATGATTTTGATTCTTTTTTGGATATGAAGAAAAAATGAGATGCGGAGTATACTTCATTAAGACGGTAATCCAAGAACACAACAACCCCAATACAATATTTAGAGAGTTATAAGTCAGGTCTTTAAAATATGCTCGCATCTATACCGTATTCATGTAGCACATTTTATTTTATTTTATCTGTTGTCTTCTGTAAAGGTTGATAAGAGGTATTTTTTCACGTACGAATTCTATATTGATAAGGATTGTCTTTTTAGATCCTAGATACATTTTGAAAAAAACATCAAATGCTACAGAAAAAATATAAAAACGTTAGAATTAATACGCGATCTACGTGGTCTAGGCAAGGGTGTTTTTTTCGAGTTTAATATTCGATTTCCGATTGCAGTTTTTTTATCGAGGAGGGTCAACTTCATTTGTATGTCTGATGCATGTATGTTTATAGAGTTTTAGCTGCAGGATCCCAATTATTGTCACATTAACCTATTATGTCTGTTTCATACCAAGTCAGGAATATGACAGTTGTTTTCACTCCTTCCGTTGGTTGATAAAAGAGAGGCGAATGATATCAAAGGGGCATTCAAACTCTTAGGCGATAATAAACTTACAACGCAATGGCTTAAAAAGAAAAAGACAATGAGTACACAATACACAACATAGAAAACTAAAGACTGAGCAACACCAACTCCACCAAAAACTGGGGTGATCTCAGGTGCTCCGGAAGGGTGAGCAGATCCTGCTCCACATGTGGCACCTGTCGTGTTGCTTATGTTTGTACAAACCCGGTGATAAGTCTAATTCGGTAGGTCACATTCGGGGAAAAGATGACTGGATTGTGGTTACGAGAATTGGAACATATCCATTGTCATAAGTGAAATGAATATTCATTTACGGTCAACCAACTCATGATGGCGTCCGTAAAATTTTCGAAGGGATTATTTCAACTTAACCAATTGGAACTCTTGGTTTAATAGCTTTCTTTTGAGCAGCAACTCTCTATCAAGAAATTCATGATAGGAAATACAAGCCAAGGAATATCGTATCAACTGGGAGAGATATACTCCGTATGCAGGCACTTCTGGAATGTTGCTACATAGAAACGTACAGTTCACATTTAGGAAGCTTAAATCATCTCTTTTGTCGTAAAGTTTTGTTTTCAAACAACCCTCATTTTGTTAAGGGTTGATTTTGTCAGTTTTTATAAACTTCCCTCTTTTGCTTTAACCTTTGAGTTCGGTTCTATTTTTTATGGTTATTAATGACAGACGTTATATTTGTAATATATTGTTACTGGAATTATTTGGCGATATTCAGTAAACTTGGTTCTTCTTTCAATACTTCCTTGATAGATGATTGATGCTTACAATCCCGTTCTCTTTTCCTTGATTTGTAATCACCGAATGCGACTTATCATTGAATATGTACTTGCCATCAGTCACACGATCGGTACTACTAGTGGAGCAATATCAGCTAACCTTTTCGGAGCACTTGAACTCGACCCGGCGTTTTTAGGAGAGTTGAAGGTTCTTGTTTTTTGTTGTCTCCTTGAATGGTATCTTCTTCGTCTAATTTTGATAGTAATAACATTTTAGAAATTTACTTTTTCGTTTCCAGACCTTTAAATGCTTTGTTTTGGTCCCCCCAACGGTTGGTGTTGAGTGAAACTAATAAATAGATCAATATCATTTGTTTATATTGTAACCTCTTCAATTTTGTTATCAATGCACATGACGGTGCCGCTTCTGGTAAGACACTTCGACCAAGAATTAACCAACAGAAAGCCAGTGCTTCCGAGTGTCAATGATATTCTTGAAAAACAAATATAACTAAAACTTTGTGTATCTTAAACAAAATATTAGATTTGTAAATTATGAAATTGTTATACAACTTAGATTTTGTAGATTACAACTCCCTTAGACAAAGTCAATTTTGAATGAGTGTTATCACTTGATATAACGTATCAACAGAATTATATAATAGTAACACAACGGGTGTCACATGTGGAGCAGGATCTGCTTATCCTTCCGTAGCACATGTGATCACCCCCGGTTTTTACGTGGGGTTCGTGTTGCTCAGTCTATGTTGTGTTTTGTATATTGTTTTTGTCTTATGAGTTTAAATGTCCCTTGTATCTTTTGTCTCTCTTTTTAAGCCTGATAATGCTTTTAAACTGATCTAGTTTACATCTTTTTAGTTTGTAGAATAAATGAACAAGAAACCGATTTATTTTGTTTTGTCAAAATCTCGAAGGAAGTTTACAGATGTTTTAACTGAGATATACTAGATATCTTTTGTAATTCACTTTCATCCTCATTATTGATTTACATCAGAGGCAAATGATGTAATAATCGTCAATGTCATTTGAAAGTCACCCTGACAATACATGTGGACAAACACATCTGCCGCAGACAGTAGTTCGATCGATTTGTAAATCATTTTAGTTCATTGTTACCTAATATAGATTTTACACGATAGTTCTATATAACACTCCTAACGAAGTGATAAACACATTAATTCGTGATGTTGAGCACGCATACACGTAGTTGGTCACCTATATGCGTGTTACTTTTTACATTTGTGTTTCCTAAAAAATGAATTAAATAAGGAGTAATAATTAATTAAAAGTAAAATTGTATTAATATAATTAACTGTTTGCAAAACTTTGAATTTTTCGAAATACTAAGGATTTTCTACCCCAGAAAGAGATTACCTTATCTGTGTTTGGCAAAACATTTTGGATATTGGGTCCTCAATGATCTTCAACTTCGTTCTTTTGGCCTTTTTAACTATTTTGATTCGAGCGTCATTGGTGAGTCTTTGTAGTTGAAACGCGCATCTGTCAAACAAAACTTTAATCCTGGTATCTTTGATGAGTTGGTATAACATGTATAAGGTATGCTGTGTTTGAAGCGAATTTTAAACTTTATCCTTTAAAGTAAAAAGATAATGATGAAAGTATAGAAAATGAGCTTAGTATCAGATAAGACTTAAAGATTAGTCAAACTATATTTAGGTCAATATTTCGTAAGGGGAGTGCTTATTTCAAAGAAATGAAATTATTATATTAGAATTTGTATAACTATTACGACTAATACAAAAGCATTGTATTTCCTGCTAAAAGAACGACACACTTAGGGACCTAACACTCCTTATGGAAAAGTAAATTAAAAATACTACAATAATCTTTTTTTGTTAGGTTACTACACACCTGAGATTCCATTCGAACACTTATTAGTTGGTTTACATGCATACCTATTTTTCAACATATTTATTTTTCTTGTAGGAATTCCGTATTCTTCAAGATCATATTCGTTTTTAATAATATGTGTCTCTGGTCCACTATAGCCAATTACCATTTGTTACAATGAATGCAAGAAAAAAACCAAAAAAAAAAACCCGGTTTATATCGTCACAGAAAAACACAACAAAGTTCATCTAAAAATTTAGATTGTTTTGTGTTGCTCATTTTGTTTCTTTCTGTGGTTTGGTTATTTAATCTGAACAATGTGTCCATTTATACCTGTACAAGTTTTCAATATTAGTTGCAATATGACCGAAGTTTAGATAAGGTTGTGAAGCATCAACTACAGATCAATTGTTAAGTATTGATCTTCGCTACTATATCTCTCCATTAAGATGGAATCTGATATATCAAATGTAATTTTTAAGATGAAATCTGATATATCGAATGTAATTTTTAATGTAATAGCTATAATCCATTATCATACAAGTGGGAGGCTTAGCTAGCTATAAAACCAGGTTTAACCCACCATTTTCTTTGGAAAATGCCTGTACCAAGTCAGGAATATTTCAGTTGTTTTTCACCTGTTCCGTTGATTGATATCGTTCTATTTTGTCAGTTTTTATGGACTTCCCCATATTGGATTTGCCTTGTAGTTCGGTATTTTTGTTATACTTTTGTATATAACTTTTACATAAATAACCCTTTTTTACCACTCATGTAAGCAATGCTACTGACATAGTAATATGCTACGAACGAATTAACCATCTATATAACCACAACTCTATATATGAAGCTCTGGAAAACAATTGAAATCATTTTTATCTGCTTTAAAATCTTTCGTGATAAAGACTAGTTCACAGATACAGCTAAATTATCGTACTTGTACTTTATCAAATTGATTAACAGGATTAGAGTGTTATCACATTTTCCTCATCTTATTTACAGTTAACCGTCTATTTTTAGTTTTTTTATGTCATTGCGTCTGAGGTTGTACTTTACGTCATTGCGAGTTTGTTTACATCATTACTATAACTAACAAATGAATAATAATCTGTAAATTAAACGAATGTTATACAGATTACGCAAACATGATATCACGTCTAAAGGTGAAACACCGAACATACAATGTGTTCTTATTTCTTATATAAAAAAAGTTGTAGGTTATATATTATGATCACTTATGTGATTATAGTATTGCAAAATGTCGCAAGAATGTTAAACAAATATTTTCCCATTAGTGCCAACAGGAATGAAAGAGTTGCGAAAGACATCAAAGGGATATTCCTCGAGGGATATTCAAACTCATAAGTCGAAGACAAACAACAGTACATAAAACACAAGTTAAAACAGAAAACTAAAGAGTGAACACCACGAACCCAACTAAAACGGGGGTGATCTCAGGTGCTCTTGAAGGGTAAGCAGATCCTGCTCCACAAATTATAATATTGAGAAATAATATTTGTATAGTATCTGTTCTATATTATTACCATTAAAACCGATCGCAAAAAGTAGTAGCGCTAGAGCGATGCAAAAACTCAAGAGGATCGTATAAACTTTAAATCCAAATAGGAGCTTCAGACACATCTAATGTGTTGTTTTCATTAATTAGGTCATACTTGAACTAATTGGTGAAATACATTCTTAAAAGACGATGATACAATAGATGCGAAAATAGTCTACCGATGTTCAAATTTCACAAACTCCAAAAGTAACTTGCCCGGGTGCCTCGACAGAGAAAGCACCCACTGCTTTGCCTGCATCACCCACCATGCGAATCCAACCTCGGTCGAAATATCACAATCGGAAATAGGACATTAGCCGACAAAAACATGCTGAATATAGAGGTATTCTGCCGACGTTAATTAAAACGTTCGTACAGGAGTAAAATAAATTAGAGTTTCATTTGCGTCAGGTAGTTCCGTTCTCTAGGTTCTTTGAGTTGCACATGAATTGTTCATTTTTAGCTATGTTGTTAAAGATATCCATTATATCTAAAGAGTAGTCATGTCTTTTATTTTTTACCACATTATCCATTTGTTTATGTATTAAGTAAATATTGAATTGAATTTGTACATTCAACGCAAAATATTGACTTGTTCAGCTTTCTGTTCAACCGGTCAGTCTCGTGTAATTATGTAGCGGGAGATTTAAACATAATTTAAACCGAATAACACCTCCGGATCTGATTACAATTCCGGATCACAAGGTTTTTGGTTGGGTACCAGTTTTGCTCAGTCTTTAGTTTTCTATGGTGTGTTTTATATATTACTGTTATTTTTCTTTGATCGTTTTTCGTTTTTTGCCATGGCATAGTCAGTTTGTTTTCCACTTATGAGTTAGAATATCCCTTTGATATCTTCGCCATTCTATATATAAATATATATAAAATACATTTCAGAAGTTCTCAGCTTAAGAATTCAGAATTTCTAAAGAAAGTAATTTATAAAATTTTAGTTTCATTTTCGAGCACTGGGTCAATATACCTCTAGTGGTGGAATGTTTGTCCCTGAGAGTACCATCGAATCAGTAGTCATTGCTTCGGTACTGACATGATTTATAAAGCACTTTCTTTAATTATCCGCTGATAAATTTAGAAATTATTAAGAAACTAAGGTAACAACCCCCTCTATTAAGTTGATCTTAAATGACTACGGCTTTTTTATGTCCCTTTTGGTCATATAGCTCTAACATATTCAAGTATTTACATGTATTCATGTACGCATCAAATTTAGTAGTCAATTTCGTTAAGTCAGCAGCATAAGCCACTGAGGAAATTGTAGACAAGTCATGTAAAAAAGGGATTACATGTGTATAACCAATATTTAAACAAATCAGTTTGAAAAATTGTATTTATTTCGATTTTCCAGATTATCAGGTTGTCATTGGTTTAAGTTCACTGTTCTCTTCCTTTTCCGGTAAGCCTCCTTTTCGTTTTCTTAGTCTAAAACCATGTGACAGCTCTGCTGCTACGTCGTCAAACGTGCGATTTTTTGTTTCGGGAACAACTAATACTATGAAAGTTATTGTTGATATAAGAACAACACAAAACGGCAGATAGACATATCCCTGTAATCCTTTCTGAAAATAGAAAATCATATAAACAAATTAAAATGGATACTTATGAAGGAATTGTTCTGAATTATACGTTTCGACAAACAAACATGTCAATGTAAAAACGTATTAACAAAAATACCGAAATCCAAGGTAAATTCAAAAAGGGGACATCCATAATAACTGACAAAAATCAAACGTTAGACGGAATGAATGGAAAACAACTGTCATATTCCTAACTTGGTACAGGCATTTTCCGAAGGTTTAACCAGGTTTTATGGCTAGGTAAACCTCCTAGTTGTATGACAGTTCTTTATAGTTCCGTTATATTGACAACATTGGGTGAGCAACCCAATCAGACATATATAAAGAAGAGAATATCTTGTACTACAAAAAGTAATGAATATATTCCGTCTCAGACATAACTCACATTTCTTATCAAGTCGTTAGATTTAAAACTCATTGCACATTGCACAGTGGTAAGTGACAAGATAAGCAGCATACTAAAACTGCAAATAAATCCAGATTTACAATAATGGAAATACGTGATCTATATGTGCCACATGTGAAGCAGGATCTGCTTACCCTTCCTGAGCACCTGAGATCACCCCCGTTTTTGGTGAGGTTCGTGTTGCTCAGTCTTTAGTTTTCTATGTTGTATTCTGTTTACTATTGTTTGTCTGATGGTCTTTTTCATTTTGCAGCCATTGCGTTGTCAGTTTATTTTCTACTTATGAGTTTGAATGTTCCTTTGGTATCTTTCGCCTCTCTTCTATAACTGCATAAATTCAATCTACACCCTTTGTATCGACCCTAAATTCCCAGAGGGCATAACCATCCTGCTCGTTTAATGAACCACAATAGACTATATTGCCCGTGATAAATTTTGACACAAGACAGTACAAGCTTAAATACACTCACCTGCATAAAACGGAACACAAGCATCAATATAAAGTTACACACCCAGTTGAAACATAAAGATACGCTCATAGCAGCAGATCGAGGTTCTTGTCGGAAAATTTCTCCGACAACAAAAAATGGAATAGGACCTGCAATTATGCAATAAAATTTCATAATATCATAATTAGGATTACTCACTTTTTTCGTTTAATAGACATTTGTTATGTTTTCAAATTAATTAAAATATAGAAATATATTGCATAGCATTAATAGGTAATATTACTCATTAATGACAGCAAATTAAAAGAATACTTTGCTCGTAAGTTGCTTTAACATTTTTAAACCCATCTCAGCTGCTACCAAAAATCCATCATCTAGTCCGGGATAACATAATTTATTTATTATTCATAATTATTATCGGCTTTGAACTAGCTTTCAGTAAGTACGATTATGTGTCTTTAAGTTAGTTGTTTTTTGTGCTTTGCGCAGATCTGATGAGTCAAGCCATTTGTAACTGATTTTTACAATTTATTCTTATGTTGTAATGTTACACCATTGTCCCAAGTTAAGGGAAGCTCTGCGCTCACAAACATGTTTAAACACACCACGTTCGTTAAGTGCCTGTCCCAAGTCAAGAGCCTGTAGTTCCGTGGTTGTCGTTGCTATGTTTGTTTTTCGTTTATATTTTGTCGTAAATCGACAATCGTTCGTTTTTTTTTTCTTCTGAAATATTTCACATCTGGTCATGCCGAGGGCTTGCATAGGTTTTTTTTTGTATAGCTGACTATACGACATGGGTTTTGTTCACTGTTGAAAGTCGTACGAATACGTATAATTGTCAAACCCTATTCATTTGGGCTCTGTTGGTTAGTTGGTTCATTGGCAATCATATCTCATCTCCATATTTTATATTTTAGTAAATATTGATAAAGTCAACGATCAAAAGTCCATTCAAACTTTGACAGAACACTTGCGTTGATCATACCTAAAAACGCTGGTTGACATTTGGACAAGTTTATGCTATGCATAATCAAAGGGGGACAACCTGTATTGATTTGATGAATGTAACTGCTTGTTAAAACCGTGTTAGTACAAGACGCGTCATTTAAGAAGAACCTATCTGTAATATCGTCTTATAAAAAAATACTTATAAGTAAAACAATAAAACGAAAAGTCATAATATGAATGCTCTTACAAATATTTAAAATAAACTATTGCATGCAAGATGACAATTTTTTTTTCACTTAATCACTTCGGTGTATACTTCTTACGAATTAAGGCAAAGGAAGACCATCTATGAAAAGAACAGTGAATATATAAGCGGAAACTTATTCTGATACCTCACCACTACTATGGTTACTATTTTCAAAAGTGTATACCGAAACATCATTTTAAGTGTATTAAGTATAGATATAATTTGCTATCGAGGTAACGCAATTATCATATATGTGTATATTCAATAGATTTACACATAGGTCTTTCAACTGTGTAATGAAGAGTGAAATAAATACAAACCTAGTCCTAATGCAAATCCCATTACATATGTATGCATAGCTATAATGCCTATGATGGCAAATATATTATGATGAGACTGAAATAAAGAACATGCATGAATATAGTATTCAGAATTATAAAATATGAAATACAGAGGAGCAAGTCTACAACTTTCCATGCGAGTGTGCGTTTCTAAAAAAAATGAACAAACTTGAAGTGAAAATTTACAAAAATATAAAATTAGTAGTATATCAGAACGAGTTGATTCTTAATTATCAGACAGATATTGTGCTTAAATGTTGTTGTAGAGGCCTATACACTTCTATAAGTAACCCATATGATACAATTAGTTGAAATATTCTGGCATTTCATTCTTTATATGATGAAAGAAAATTAAACGAGTATGTTGTAATTAAGAACATACAAAGAAGTTGTGATATTTATAAGTGCTGATGCAATATGATAACGTCATTGTGTGGACATCTCGATTTAACATGTGACGAAGCTGAAACTTCAGAATTTCCCGTTCAAAAGCATTGATCGTCAAAAAGGGGTGTTTCCAACCCCCGGACCCCCCCCCCCCCCCTCGCCCTCCCTGGATCTGCCACTGAGATGGTCACCACAGGAACTTATAGTGGCAGTGGTATTGACCCATGCAGTGGTATAATGTTACTTTCCGTATCATTTAGAGTGGGTCTCATTGGGGTGTAAGCGTGATGCGGAATTGGCCGATATTTTATAGGCGTGACACGTGAAAGTTAGATTATTTTGTGTGAAAAAAGTCCACTTTTGGTAATATACTTTTGACGTGGCTCGGAACTTATACATCCTGCCATTGTGTTATTGTGCTATGGTCAATTTTGTATTCTTGTCTTTCGTTTTTGCCTATGTACTTTGTCTGTAGAGTGTCTTTATGTCAATTTGTTTTTCTTTGTTGAAATAGTTATTTGTTTTATAGTGATTAAGATTATATAACAATGTTGACTGCTGTACCCCAATTTTTGACATTTTTACTTTGTTTTGCTCACAAATTGATGTCAATATAATGGAATTCTATGCGACTGTCATACAAGTGAGAGGTTTAGCTAGCTATAAAACCAGGTTTATTCCACCATTTTCCACATAAGGAAATGCCTGTCCCAAGTCAGGAATATGACAGTTGTTTTCCATTCGTTTGATGTGTTTGAGCTTTTGATTTTGCCATTTGATAGGAGAATTTTCCTTTGATTTCGGTATTTTTGTAATTTTACTTTTTTGTATCGAGGGTTACAACAACTAGCTATATGCTACGGTAGTCAAAACTTTGTGTTGACATGGAATATCATTGTGTCTGTAATTTTCTATAAGTTTCTGTTTATGAAATTTTTAATTATTTGTCAACACTAAGGTTTATGAATCCCGAGGCAAAGATGGCCATAGCTGTATTTTGCAATATTTTTGGGGAATTTTTGGTTGAATGCTCTGCAACTTTATGTTTGATTTTGGCCTTTCACATTTTTTATTTGGGCGTCACTGATGAGTCTTATGGTATCTTTGACGTGTTTTGTTTACCGAATTCAGTGCATACTACATTTGTTTCTTGAACAACCTTCAGCAGTAAAGTTTGAGATCAAATGCATAAATTGTTTCGAAGAATCAAACACAAAAAATTCTTAACCTTAATTCTTAACCTTAAAGTCAAAACCGTCAAATATCAATTTTACCTTAATATGTAGCCCGGAAAATTTTAATTCTAAGATTCAGTGCTAGTGCACAATTTAGAAACAATATAAACAATGAACATGAAATACACTGGCTTCTGGCGGACGGAGAACTACCAGTCCACTAGCAGTGAAATCGACATTGAAATTTTTAATAAGCATATGTAAGACATACTTATAAAAGACATAGTGACGTGTCGATTGAAGCTAGGTATTAGAGTCTGGATGGTGGGTCCCTCATTTCCTTATTCTTTATCTTTTGAGACCATTTTACTCTTTTCTTTATTTATCTCTTTTATTCTCTATACACCTTATCGCTATTTGTCCGCCATTACTGGACATCACAAAAGTTCCCGTAAAATTTTGACGTCATAATAGAAAATATCTGACGCCACAATGGAAAAGTGATTGTTGTATGACTTCAAAAGTTCAAGCAGGACAGATTGTCGGGTCAAGCGGGAATAGCGATAAGGTGTATTCTTTAGGCCTATTTTTTCTCTATTCTTTTAATTGGTTACCCTTTATTCTGAACTTTTTAACCACTCTATTCTGTAAACCCCATCCGGACCCTCAGCTATAGTAAAATGCAACTCACCTCCATATGATCTACATATTGTAAATTATGGAAAATGGTAAGAACTATGAATGACACCAACATGCATGACATAGGATATATCAACAGAGGCCGCCGGCCGAGCCTTTCCATCAACGGTACGGCTGGGATAGTTGTTAGCATGTTTATGAGACTGGTACCACAGACAACCCATTCTACTGTGTGAGGTGGTACACCAGCATTTTTATACATGAAACTTGAATATGACATCACCTGAAAAAAATAAAGAAGTATATTTCATAAAATGTATCAACATATCCAATTCTCTTTGAAACTTAGAGTAATTTCCACCATTGACCTTGACATATATTATTGTGCGATCTGACAAAAGCGATTGTAAAAAAACAATCGAAAGGGTACAACAAAGAAGTTAGTTTAAAAACGTATTTAACAAAACAGAGTAATTTATTTAAATTAGTAGACTATTTACTTCAAATTGAAACGAATTTCCGTAAATAAAAGCCCTATCCTGTCAAGTCAAAATAATGAACAATTATGAATTAATACAAAGAAAAAGAAGAAGAAATAAAGTATGCAACCTACAGCATTAATACCAGACGCTTGTTGTCCGGCTTGTAACGCACATGCTATGATAACAGGCAGCCGTAACTCGGGAGCTACCAGAAGTTGTTTTAAGGTAAATGATTTAACACTTTTTTGTTTACTTGCTTCTGCTTTCATCTCATCTAATTCATCTTCGACATCGCTGTATCCTGTCAGTCTTTTCAATGCTGTCAAAGAAATATAACATGCCAATATTATACACCTTAAAATACGCTAATAAATAATAATGTGCAGTATCGCTGTATCCTTTAGTCATTTTTTTTTATGTCAATGAAAAATTAGATATAAGAAGATGTGGTATGAATGCCAATGAGACAACTCTCCATCCAAGTCAAAATTTATAAAAATAAGTCCATTACACTATTGCATCATTTAATAGAATGGGCATGTGTCAATGCAGGTAAGAGAAATAAATCTATAAATCAGCCTTTCTTTTTTAATAGTCTGATTTCAGTAATGCTTTTTAAGCATTCTTATGAATTCTATATCCTTTTATAGCTTGCTACAGTGGAGATCACTTCTAACCTCTAATCAAATCTGTCAGAATCTGTCAGGAGAACTGTTCTAGGACAGTATGTAGAACTGTCATCCTGACACCTTTTAGACAGTTCTAGCTAGAACAGTTCTAACCTAGAACTGATTTGGTCAGTTCTACCTAGAACTGATTTAGACAGTTCTACCTAGAACTGACAAAATCTTTGGTCAGTTCTACGACTATAACAGTTCTACGGCTAGAACAGTTCTACGACTAGAACAGTTCTACGATTAGAACTGATTTGGTCAGTTCTACTGCTAGAATTGATTTAGTCAGTTCTATCCATAGAACAGTTTTAAGAACTCTTTGTCTTAAATATAAATAAGTCAAAAGAATATAATATATATTAAAAAAATTCTCATCACAGCACTGTTTTAACATTTCTCTAACTGCAGTGACGGCATTTAGAACTGTTCTACGATCCTGACAGTTCTACGGTTAGAACTGATTTAGTCAGTTCTGCTGATAGTTCTACGGTTAGAACTGATTTGGTCAGTTCTGCTGACAGTTCTACGACTAGAACTGATTTGGACAGTTCTACCTAGAACAGTTTTAGACAATTCTACCCTAGAACTGATCCTGACAGTTCTACCTAGAACTGATTCTGACAGTTCTACTTAGAACAGTTCTAGGATAGAACTGTTCTAGGTAGAACTGTTCTAGGACAGTTTAGAACAGTTCTATGACAGATTATTCTGACAGTTCTAATGAGAGGTTAGAAGTGATCTCCACTGTATGTGGTACGGAATTTGGTCATTGTTGAAAGCCGTATAGTAACCTATTGTTGGTGGTAGAGATGTCTCATTGGCAATCATACCACATCTTTTTATTTTTTAAATTATGAAACAAAATTCAAATAATCTGTGTTACAAACGTTCCAGTGATTTCTAAAAATTGTGTACTTTGACCTGATTTAACACGCTTAAGAGAGGCTAGAGATACCAAAGGGATATTCAAACTCATAAGTCGATGACAAAACTGACAATACCTTGGCAAAAAAACCAAATAAAAGAACAGAGTTCCAATGTCCCCCGCGTTGCACATATTTCATATATCCAAGGTACAAGGGCAATAACTAAAAAAAGCAATTTGTTTATGTTCTATAAGACTTTTTATTAATATCCTAGAGAAATGAAGGCTTCAGAGCAAATGCAATATGATTTCCATTATAATTGATATTTCAAAGGGGAATAACTCGCTGAACTTATTTTCGAAAGTTTCAAAGACATTGCTGATATAAACCTATGATATAAGATTCATAAAATTCTGGCAAGAATTGAACTTATGAGAGCGCTAACAATGCAATTTTTCGTATAATCAATATTTCCAAGGGCATAACTCTTTTAAAAATAATTGATCGGCACTGATTTTCGTACTCGTCAATGAAATTGATGATATAAACCTATAATATAAATTTCATATAAATCTGGCAAGAATTGTATATATTAGAGCGCTCATAAGGAATTTTCCATATAATTAATATTTCCAAGGAGCATATACTCTTTTAAAAAAATTTGATAGGCACTGATTTTCAAACTCGTCAAAGACATTGCTGATATAAACCTATGATTTAAGTTTCAGAAAATTCTGGCAAGAATTGTACACATGAGAGCGCTTACAATGCAATTATCCATATAATTAATGTTTCCAAGGGGCATAACTCTTTTAAAAATAATTGATCGGCACTGATTTTCGTATTCGTCCAAGACATTGCTGATATAAACCTATGATATAAGTTTCATAAAAATCTGGCAAGATTGTACACGTGGGAGCGCTAACAAGACCGGAGAGACGGACGCACATACAGACGGACGGACACCCGGCAAAAAACGGCAAAAAGACAAGGGGGGTCGTGAAAATTTCAACGTTACAAACGCTTTTACCCACTCATATATTTCATATCGGAAAATCATAACCCATAGATATATTTCCCCAGCTATCAAAAATACAATTTATAACATCTTTAAATGTAAACCACATTGGATCATTCATATTATTAGACAAAAAGATCAGTATCTTTACAGACATTTAAACAGATGATGAAGATTTATGACCCATTGACATAAACATTTCTACCTGTTGTCATATTATCTCCGCGAAATTGCACCCCATTGATATATTTGACATTCCAAAATATGACCCATATCTGTGTATACTTTTATATATGAAGAGACCACTCGTGCCAAAAGACAAACAACAGTATACAAAACACCAAAAAAAGAAAACAAAAGTCTGCCTACTAAAGATATATACCAATTAAGTTAATAAGTAACTTCTACATTTAGTCTGCAGTTGTGTACTTTGTGGTTTTATCAAAATCTGAGATTAGTTTCATTTTCAATTTTGGGAAAGAAAATGATCGCTGATCATATGTATGCCTTGAATTGAAATAGGACGTTACGGATAATTTTTTTTCAGTTTACACTTTTAACCTAGCTCCTAGTTTTCACGATAACAGCTAGAAACTGCAAAAAGAATGATATTTTACTTCAATAACTCTAAAATAGGTCGACAGTTTTTTTTTCCAATTTTCAGATTAGATAAATCTTGTTCTGGTGATCTTTTTTGTTATTTACACTTTTAACCTAGCTCCTATAATTTTCACGGTAACAGTCAATAACTGCTTAGAAATTGGAGAAAAAAATTGTATTTCAGGGGCAATAACTTCAATTTTTTTCTCCAATTTTTAGGTTTGACACATCTTGTTATGCGAATCACTTTTGCTATTTACACTTTTAAAATTTTTGAAACACAGTTTAGAAATGCCAAAAAAGTTAAAAACAGCTTGGCAATAACTCCAAAAAAAGTTGGGATGATTTTGTTCCAAAATTGCTTTCCAAAATTATCATGGTAGGTAGAACTTGTTATGCTGACCATTTTTACTCTGTCAGTTATTCTTTAATTGCTATAGTTTTAGGAATTGTAGTTTGGTCTCTATGTTTTATTTTTAGACAAGGCAGCCATGTTGGTTGATCAACCTGGACGTCCTGTAGATGAAGCAGACACACACTGGTTTCAATCTATTAAGCAGTTTAGAGGAGAAGAATTTTAAAGAAGATTTTTCGAACGAAGGACGGGCAAAGTCTAAAAAGGTCTAAAGAATAAGTAAGTAAGAGTAAAGCACATACCTACCTATTCGTGCCTCTTCTACTTTTCCTTTTGTTATCAACAGATACCGAGGGCTCTCGGGACAGAATGGAAATCCAACTAGACATACGATAGCAGGAAAAGCATTAAATATAAATACCCCAGGCCATAGTTTATCGGTACCTGCAAGAAAACATTCCATGCATATAATTGACATAAAACTATTAAGTATCTTATAAGTAAATATTGTTTTATGGTCATGTTAGAGTGTTGCTTTCAAGTAAGTAAGCATGTTTTGTAGCTTGAGTCTTGTATCATTGAAATTCGGCGCTTACTTTACGGGGAACACGAGAGCATTCCCGGTAGAGTTCGTTTCGCTCAATCTGATTTAATTAAATGAATTTGGAACATTGTTTCTCCATTCGTGTTTCTACTGCATGCATGGCTTTGTCCTACTTCGGAATATACATATATATCTATATAGTTAGATTTAACACGTGTGTTTGCCTTACACGATCTACACTCTGGCTTTGTCTTAAAAAGACATGTTTTTTCTTCAAGCCTAAATTATATTTAAGTTTAGTCATTTTTGTGTTTTATTCTATTAATAATAGGCTCACCAACGACTTACATAGAATATAACGACCAAAACAATTCACCGACTGAAATATACAGAATATACATTTATTTCCCGTGCCTCAGGAAGATATAAAGATTTGTTCACCCAAGAAAATTCGTAACATCGCACGAGGAAGTCCCGATGTTCAGAAGGGAATATGATACCGAGAGGGGAACATGAAGTTTTTGTTCAATGTCACGTGGATTGGTCTCAACCAATCAAATGTTGATTAAGCTATCAAATTTAACATACAGTGGAATAATACGTTTTAAAAGATGATATACTTACCAAATACTTTACTAACACCTAAGATATTGGAAGTTAAGATTCCTACGGTGATAAATAACTGTTGACAGGTACCAACAGCTCCCCTTATTTTCTTCGGTGAAATTTCAGCTAGGTATAATGCATTTAAACTCAAACTAAGTCCTAGAAAAATCATAAAAATTCTATAAATTACTACAGCAATTAATTAACATTTTCATCGACGAAAGTTTATATCACGTCAAAATCAAATTGCATGTCCACATAAATATTACACAATTTACCAATAGAGACTGTTTACAGAAAGTTAATTAAATGCTCTCCAAAAAACGATTTTTTTTCATTCTTTTATTTTTTTCACTATTTCTTATTTATTTAGTCTTATTTATGTTTTTATTATTTAATCTATCAGTTATTATTCATCAATTTATTTATTCATTTATTTTTTTATCAAATTATTATTTATTTTTTTATCAAATTATTCTTTATTTTGTTTTTTGTCTTGTTTTACAATATCTATGTTATATTTTTGTCTTTCTAAATTACATTAATTGCCATAAGGTAAAAATAAATTGTATAAACGACCAAAAAGGTGTAAGACAGGGCCAACCGTTCGAGACCATCGTGTGTAATCAAGGTCGTTAAACAACCCCTAGTAGGTGAAGAATGACAGCACTTAAACATGCATCACTATGCAAATGGCAAAATCTCTTAGAAATTGACAACTGATTTTGTTAACGCTCCGCGGTTAAAACTACGAGCAAAAGTAGTCAAAATAGAAAATAGGATGGTAAAGAGCGCCAATTAAAATTGAATCGATCATAATCACGAAAAATACTATAATTTATATCAGAATGACAATATTTTATGGAATTTGAAATTCAGAAAGGCAAAATAACAAGGGATTTTATTCAATACCATTATGAAGTCCAACAAGTGCCCTGTGAACTATGACACATTCAAATGATTGGGTCGCGATAGGTATTCCACCAATCACTGCAGCTAACATCATGATGAAAGTGATTGCCATCATTCCACCTTTCCTGAAAATACAAAAAAGTAGTAAAACAAAGACAAGCCTAAAAAATGAGGGTCTGGAGTGGACGCCCTTCATTTCTGTATTCTTTTTTTTTCGTCCAGTTTTTCTATATTATGTATATTATTTGCCTATTATTCTCTAAGCCTTAAAATTTTGCTGCCCGTTATCCTCTATTCTTTTTTTTCGGTCGATTTTTCTCTATTCTTTATTGTTTTAGCCCATTATTTTCTATTCTGTAAAACGCATCCAGCCACTGATAGAAACAACTTTGGGTTCTTTGTTTTCTTTTCAACGTTACATTCTGATTTCTCCCTAAAATACTGATAGAATCGAGATGTCTTCTCGGAAGTCATTTCCACACAGATTTATGAATTCAATGACCAACCTGATTTTTTTTTAAGAGATTTTAACCATTTTGAATAATTATATGTATAGAATTCAAGGTGTCATATTAATTAATCATGTGAAACTTCATAAATCAACTTGAAATTGTATAAAAGTCAAGATTATTGCTTAATCTTCAAAATTTCGATGCATGATTATTTTTGTCAAGTAGACATATTGTTATTTATTTTATCATATTTCAGACGGTGCATTACATTTGCGCGCAACAATCATTACGTTTTCGCGCAGCTTTTGATTACATTTGCGCGCATTTATTTTACAGGAAAACTCAGGTAAATACAGGTAGATTATACTTATTTACTATGATTTATTTAATGTACCCCTCCTGTTAGTCTAAGTGTTTTGCTCACCAACGAGGAGAAGGAAGGGAGGTTTCCAGCAGGATTAGTTCGTTTTATTATGCACAAGCACTAAGTCCTGAAATATATACAGATGATATTGAAAAACCATAGCAAAGTACCAATTATACCTGTTGGTACGTGCTGAATATTTGAAGCCAACTGGTTCAAGAAAACAAATTCAGTAAGACAACACTAGGAAAAGTTTTGCATGAACCATATGTGTATATCTATAAGGTGAACACTGGCCTCCGGGTCCTCTATAATAGCATCTGCCTACACTAGTTGTGGGTGTTGATTGAAGTCTATTTTTCATTTTCATGCATGTCTGCAATATCCCGAAGTAGATTTTTTTTTAAGTCTGAGATTCACGAATTCTCAAAAGTAAAAGTAGCAGCGTACATATACAGTCGATGGATATAGATTCTTAGATATACTGAGTAGGTTTTCATACATACTGATTAGTAGATATTAGTCTTTTACTTCAAGAATGAAAATGGTTTCCATTATATCAATATTATTAAAAAAGTAGTTTTTTTGTTTTTTTGTCCGGTTTGGTTCATACTTACTTTTTTATTTTAATGACTGAAATAACAAAAGCTTTACATTTTCAAAGCTGTACACATGTTAACCAATTATTACAATTGTTTATAACAATTAATGAAGAATGTGTCCATGGGACACAGATGCCCACGCTTGTAAATAAACGGCAATATACTTGATCTGTGTTTGGTGATAATAAGCATTGTGTATAAGTTTCATAACATTTGGTCGAGGTAAACTAAAGTTAGAGTGCGGAAACGGCAAATTTAGCATTTTTTCCATTTATGAAGGGACATGACTCGAGGACGTTGAAAGTGACACCACTTTAATTCCTGTCAACTTCCTTTCCAATGGGGACTTATGGGAAATTTTTCTTTTGTTGGATAAATCGTTCTGATCTAATATCATCATATTCATTGATACCAAAACGAAAATCTTAGAATTCGTTCTTAGACAACAATCTAAATGTGACACTAACAGGGTCAAATCGGACCTGTGACTTTGGGAAGTTGCTTGAGACCTTGCGACCTGACATCTTATTCTAAAAAACCTGTGACCTTTAAAAATTTGAGAAGTGATCTGGAAAGCGGAGGCAATTTTAAAAAGGGAACCTTGTGAACTAAGGGGTGCCCTACTGAAGACCCCCTAAAGATAATAAAAGCAATCCTATGGATAGTGTTGTCGCAAATTTGTTTTCTTATTTTTTTTGTAAAGTTCTAATGTTAACGTTGTACAAACAAAGTTTTTATAAGGACATGATTAACAGCGCATTTTAGAGAAATTGTACAAATAAAAAAGTTTATTCAAAATGATAACTAAAAGAACATGCAACGAAAGGTGTTTTCCTTGTGACGTTATCCAAATTTCGGTCAGTTCCAGATTTTTACGAGAATTAAGAGGATAAGGAAAATCGTCCTAGAGGAAAGCGTCAATACCTGAGTATTTTTACAAATAAATTATTTCCAGATTTAGTGAAAAGACAATACCAGAAAAGTTTGTCACTGAAAAGAATACTTAAACATTGAAGACCTGTTGGTGACCTTCTGCTGTTGTCTGTTCTATGGTCGGGTTGTTGTCTCTTTGACACATTCCCCATTTCCATTCTCAATTTTATTAAAGTTTACATTTGAATCTATAACTATGGTAGTCATAAAAAGTTCAAGAGATAAGAAACACTGTCGTGTCAAACTTCTACGTTTTCATTATGAAATAAATGGGGAATGTGTCCATGGGACACAGATGATGCCCCCGGCTTGTATTATATACATTATAAAGGGACATAACTCAAAATCCGTATTTGGTCTGAGTTTTGTGTTAATCAGCGTTGTGTACAAGTTACATAACATTTGGTTGAGGCAAACTTAAGGTACAGAATGGAAACGAAACATTCAGCAATTTTCCATTTGTAAAGAGGCATAACTCTATATAGGTAAAAGTGACGCTATCTTCAACCCCCTTTGTAGAGGAAACAAACATTTGTATGTAGAACTGTGATCTGCATTAATCTATGTACAGTGATGCCTCCACCAGTTATGAATATGTTGTAGTGCTCTATATTTACAGTGAAATCCTACCCACACACACACTTATATTTAAAAACCTTTGTTTTATGATTAAAAAGTTCCAGTACTTGTTGTACGATAATTAAAAGTCAAGTCCCTATAAACTTCCTTTCTTTCGTTATATATACGTATCACAGTTGGTTTCGGTTCCCCTAACCGTTTCGTGGCTAAGTATTTGTTAAAAGTATAACGCATTTCTATAAATTATCGACAACATTATTCCATAAGATCATTTGTTTTTGTATCACAGTAAAGTTATAAAAGAATGAGTGCCTTATTCTCATGATTTAGAAGCTAGCAAAATATCTTGCAAATTTACATGTTCTAAGCATTGTGTATAAGTTTCCTATCATTTGGTTGAGGCAAACTAAAGTTAGAGAACGACAACCAAGTTGGGGACGTACTGACGGACAGACGTACCGACGGACAATGGTAAACCTTAATGCCCCCTCCGTTTTCGTATCACAGTAAAGTTATAAAAGAATGAGTGTCTTCTCCTCATGATTTAGAAGCTAGCAAAAATATCTTGCAAATGTACATGTTCTAAGCAGTGTGTATAAGTTTCCTGACATTTGGTTGAGGCAAACTAAAGTTAGAGAACGGAAACCAAGTTTGGGACGTACTGACGGACAGACGTACCGACGGACTATGGTAAACCTTAATGCCCCCTCCGCTACGGCAGGGGCATACAAAAACCAGCTGTTCAAAATATCATTTTCAAAATTAAGCTTCTTTTGCACGACGAGTCAAAACAGTTCATAATTTGTCAGTCCAGTAACCCGAAAAATTGTGTCCTTATATTCCACTGATCTACGATGGCTACATTCACGTCTGAATGTATACACAATGAAAAATCGTCATTCAACCATTCGGAATTAGCTCGGAATTTACCTATCTCGATTATTCTGGTTATAATTCCTGTAAATACATACCTTCCAAGTCTTTCTGCAAGTTTTCCCGACATAAACGACCCAATCATTCCAAATAATACAAAAATAGACACAGTTATTGACCATAAAAGCTCTACAAAATCGTCTTCTTCTGAATATTTTTTCATTTGTTCTGATAAGCTCATGGACGTATTTGTTGAATTAGATACTGGCCCTATTGTTGTTGTAGATGCTGTTCCATTTTGTGGAACTACCGGTGATATGTCGTTTCCATCCCAGTCTTTTGGTATTTTGCCTGCCCTTTCCCACAGAACTTTAACGTAGAAAATTCGCATGACCTGTAACAGGAAAAGCCATATATATGAATTGGAGGACAGTCTGTGTGGATTCCAAGGATCGGAACCCTCTTTTTCGAATTTTTTGTGTGTTAAAAATGAGGAAGCAAAAAAAACAAACCGATTCATGTTGATGAGTTACGAGTTCTCTATTCAGTGTTTTGTGGTCTTATTTAAATTTCGTCGTTTTTCGTTATTTGCCATGACGTTGTCAGATTTTCTTCGACTTATGAATTTTGAATGTTCCCTTGGTATCTTCAGCCTCTTTTTGAAACATGTTTGATTTGTTTCATAAACAATATGACAGTAAAAAGCTGTATTTTATCTATATAACTCGTTATTTAGCTCCTGCAGGTAAATTAAATCCCTATGGTATGCATGAAAAAAATTAGTAAAAATGTTTACAAAGTTATGTTATTTATATCTATATTGCAAAAAAATTGTTCGTAAAGAATATATCCCGTTCATTTAGTTTGTATACAATAAATCCCAAACAATTGTACTTTTTTCGTACTACAATGTCACAATATAAGATTTGTACTGAAATTTTGACTACAGTGTTTTACCTCTATATATCTAGATTGGTGTGTTGTACTATTAGGTATATAGAACATCTTTATTACAATAATTTAGTAGGAAATTCAACTTAAAATGTTACACTAATTATTTAAAAGTTTTTTTTTACTAAAATGTAAAACACTTTAAAGTATAACACTGTTAGCTGCAAGATGAAGTACAAATCAAGAACAGTGATATTATACTACTGAAATAATAAAATAATTTCCAAGTACTAACAAAAGTACTACGTTATTTAGGTACGTATTCCAGTACTACAAAGTTATAGCACTTAAAAAGTACATATGCAAAAGTAGCTGTGTATATACATAATTTTGAAAATTTATGAAAAGGTTAAAAAATAATTCAAAAAATGGGACATTTTATGAGATATTGTCTCCTTATATGTCATTTTCAACTCTTTATCGAACCTCTGCTCTGGTTGTTAATTTGTGCACGGTGGAAAAGAGTGCTTTTATTAACTGTATTTTTAATTATATTTAACAAAAAAAAAAAAACCAAACAAACCAAACAAGCAAACAATGCAACATAAACACTGCATGATTGTTTGATGAACATGTATAAGTCAATCCTGCTTTTATTTGTTTTTAACTCGACAACCCCTGCCACCAGTGGTGCACTTAAACAGACGTTAAGAAAAGTAGAAAATGACTATAAAGTACACTCACCCCTGCTGGATTGTTGACATCTCCGATGCTGTATCCATAGAGGAAAGAATTTCCAAATACGGCGATAAATATACTAAATAAAAGCGTTCTTGTATATTTGACCTTTCTCTGAAAGTAATAACAAAAAATAATTTAAAATTTCAATTATGTTATTGTGATTGTCAGGCTAATGGTAAAACGAATGTATAATCACTATCACAATCACAATCACACTATCGAATGAACTTTTCTAGACTCAAAGCGACTTATTAAAAAAAAACAATATTATATATGTACAGACTGTACGTTGATCTCAAAATAACTTTGGGCTTTTTGGGTTGTTGGAATGTTGTCTTATTGACTTCTATCAACTACATGAATTAGACGTTATACGAAAATTGACGATAGGTTTATTAAGGATGTAGTCAGGTCAGATGTTCAGACTCCTTGGTTTTTTCCAAAGGTACAGGGTACAATATTTTGCACCATATCACCTACTTTTCTTTTCATAGAAGACTTCAATATCATAAATAGGTCCTTAGCATCATTTATTAGATTCTCTTTTTTTTCTTACGATTTGAGACCCAACTAATGCCAATGATAAATATAAGGTAAAAGTCTTAGTCAGCCTTTTCCCGCCATTTAAAAAAAATAATGACATGACATTGTCCTTAGTCATTAAATCATAAAAGTTGTTATTTCCACGAAAAATTGGACGACTTTGCGAGTATAAAACAACGTGTTCTTCTAAAGTAAGTAAGCTTTTCAAGTACTAGAATAGTTTCTAATTAAATTATAGGTTGTGTAATGTTCAGTGACAAGTATTACACATCAATTTAGGATGAGACAAGGACTTAAAAGCGAACAGCAAAGATGACCCCAAATTGGAGTGTGACTTAAACAGTAATTTTAAGAATGTTCGTTCCTCTTGCTTTGACTTTTTGTCAGATATTTGGAATCCTCTTCATTGTTTTATCCTTGTAGTGCCATTACTTATTTTTGCCACCTTTTTAGTTCTGTTATTTATATACTATCAATTTCAAACAGTCTTCATAAAAGCTTGTTATTTTGAGACAGTGTAGCCAACATCCTTAAAATGCATAGAAGCAGAATCTATAACCGAAAGTTATAGTACTTGTCTTAGGTTGGTGTACTAAAAAAATAAAGCAAACATGTATTTGTGATGATTTGTATACCTTCGAATGTATAGATGTTGTTGATTTACGGAAACAATATTTTACAAAATTATTTACTTATATAGTATTGTTTCAAAAACAGTTTTATCTGATGAACCCGTTGTCTATTTATTAAAAGAATTTACTTCCTATTTTTTTTTATTCTTTCTTTATGCGGTGGCGATACGTTGTATACCTGTTATTTGTACAAATGTTGGCTGATTACAGGATTGTCTTTTGAGATTAAGTAAGAACTTTGTATTGACATAATTATGAGGGTCTGGATTGGGTTTACAGAATAGATAATCACCGCGATATAGCCTTTTTACGCTGACTCGTCATAAATGCGATATAGCCTTTTAGCACTGAAGCGGCGTAAAGTAAACATCAACCAATCTATCAGAACAGAGAATAATGGACCAATACTACAGAAAAATTGGCCAGAAAAATAAAAAATAGAGAAAAATAGGCAAAAAAATTAAAGAATAGGGAATAATGGGGTGCTTAGATATAAAGAATAGAGAATTGTGTGCTCTCCTGTATTTTCAAAGTTATGGTGTATTTATTCTTGAGATAACTTCTCTTATGTGTGCCACATCATTCTCTCAATTTTAGGCCAGGCTGCATAGTAAAATTTCAATCAGAAGCACACCACCTATTCTTGGTCCTCATTCCTATCCATGTTAAATTTTTCACTTCAAAACATTTCATGGAAGCGGGATCAATATATACCTGTATTTATAAGTAACATCAGACCGTACTGCACTGGTTACCGGAATTTTGGATACACCAAACCAGGCACTTCATATCTGAGAAACAGGCTATATTTGCCCTCAATTTTAGAATTCATTCATACATTTTTGTATTATTTAAAATAATCAGTAAATTGTGTGTTCTGCAAGGATTTAATACAAGCCTTCGCCTTTCATCTGATACCTTACTTACTAAAATATATGCTACATAGTTTAAGATTTACCCTTATGCGTAGGAACTATTTTGTTTTAAATATGTACTACTTTCCAGTACAATGTATGTTCTTTTTTGACCGGGCCCGATTAGGTGGTGTTACATCATACAGAGTCTATCCAAATTATTTTGGCAAAGAATTCCGCTCAAGCCGATGCTACTTAAACTTGCAGTGAGGTAAGAGTTTTTTCTCTTTCTTTTTCTTCGTGTTGAAGGCCTCACTGTGACTTTTACATGATGTTACATGCGCTGTTCCTTTGCTTTTTGCTGTGCATGTTCTGATTTTGTGTCATGGATGGATACCCCATATCCTTTGTTTTTCTATTAAATAAATGGAGAATGTGCCCATTGCACACAGCTGGTGCATATAACGTTATAAAGGGACATAACTAGAGAACTGTAAAAGTTACGCCACCCAATGTCGGACTTGATCTGAGTTTTTTGGAAATAAGTATTGTGTATAAGTTTCATAACACTTGGTTGAGGCAAACTGAAGTTAGAGAACGGAAACGAAAAATTCAGCAATGTTTCCATATATAAAGGGGCATAACTCTAGAACGCCATAAGTGACGCCATCCAAATTCAAACTTGGTCTGAGTTTTGTGGTAATAAGCATAATAATTGTGTATTAGTTTCATAACAAGTTACATTTAGTTGATGCAAATTAAGTTAATGAACGGAACTTACAGACGTACGTACGTACGGACGTACAGAAAGACAATTCAACAATTTTTCCATATATAAAGGGCATAACTCTAGAACGCCATAAGTGACGCCACCCAAATTCAAACTTGGTCTGAGTTTTGCGGGGACATAAAAATAGAAAGAATAGAGAAAATGACCTAAATAATTTAAGAATATAGAAATGAAGGTCCCCCATCCAGACCCTAACATATAAAACATCTGATCAAACATTTAATTACTGGTAACATTATAAATGTAACCTGATCAAATTAACTTTACAGGAATAAGATAACTGTAATTAAGTGTCATATTTAGATTTATGTTGTTTTTTTTAAATTGCTGAATTGCAAATGTCTTCTAACCAGCAACATAAATTAACCTTCAAATTCAAATTGTCATTTTGTGAATTTTGATATGGATACTTTTAATTGGATCGAGACTCAGAATACACTCATTTAATGTTGTAGCTTAAGTTTCGGACAGTAAATTGTTGTCTTTGACAAAAGTCAATTTCCCGAGGATATAAAGCATGTCAATCATGATATTAAGAATTTTAATCTATACAAAATGGCTTCTTTTTATTATTATTTGTAACTTACAGGATATTAAACAGTCCATGTTATAAATAAACCGCTGTTGTTAGTTTAGATTGGAATAATTATTCAGAATAATTGTTTAAGCCAAACTTCGCAATTTGACCCAATCACTATTAACCTCAGAATATGATCTTGTCCGCTATCATCATATCAATGTTATCAATTGGTTTGTTCAATTCATTTCTTAGGAAAATCTCATAAGTGATCATAATTTTACACAAGCTACTACCATGTAAACATGCTTTTTGGGTAAATGGTTGACCTATTTTACTCGAGTTAATGGTTTGATGGTAGTGAGCGGTATATAACGACAGAATTATTCGTGAAAGCACTGTTTAGAAACTGACATGGAAGGGAGCTTATTGACAAACTGTTAAATTGTGTTTTCCTCCCGTATGGGTGCACCGTGCTTTACATTCACACGCACTATATATGCACTGTGGTTATATATAATACATTATAGGGTGTATAGACACAATGGTTGACCAATTGATAAGTCTGCACGACCAGTTTCCAATTCCGCAATATTGCTGTAACGCCAACTCATTTCATTATTGAGGGTCTGGAAGAATAATGGACAAGAAGTGCAGAATAAAGGACAGAAAAAAAATGTGCAATAGTGTTGCCTTCCTAAAGACTATTAGATAGTAAAAACTAATATAGCAGGGTGTTAATCAAAATTGTTGACTAGTGTTGCCTTTCATAAGTTAGATTGCAGTGTATTCATACATTACTCTTGAGGGGGACCGTAGAAAATCTTTTTCACGACTAGCACGTTTCTCTATAGTTTAAACGTACAACGACTTATGTTTAAACCGACATTCATTTAAATCTATTTACGCAATACAAAATAATGGATTTGACTACTGACCCTTACCTTTTCAGACATCCGAATTATAATTGGTGTCTAGGTTGCAGACACTTAATTAATTGCATGACTTAAACAATGGTGTATAACGGAGATATATTCCTAAAACGAGGACAAAGTAGATGTGATCTTCAATTCAGTACGACAATTTCAGGCCTGAGATGAAATGAGTATATAGTGTAACACGATAGCAGACCTAGTATAGAATATGTATATGTAATGTTCGAACACATTCAATCATTAAATATTTATTATAGTTGAATATATTTCCTTATATTGTTAAAGTAGAAAATGTCGGATTTTAAGTAGCCTAGGGGTTAGTTGGTTGTAAGTACTTAGTTTAAACTCTTGATTCTTACGACATGCAGCAACACACTATCGAGGGGGGTTGGTTGGGGGTGGGGGTTGTGTTTTTTTTTCTCGCGGGACAAACAGTTTGTTTGAATTTTCTTGAAGAAAAACTTTGTTCAATAACATACAAGTACAGGTTTTATTTTTTCGAAACTCAATATCATATTTACTTTTTATGATACGATGCAAATTAAATATGTACAGATAATATTATGCACTATTTACAATGAGTTCAAAGTTAAAGTTCAAACTTTATTGTCATATAAATCAACTGATATGACCGTTTGTGATTCCCCACAAAAAGAGAAAAAGAAACATGCAATAGCATACATATATTATGAAGAAGTGTGTATAATTTAACAAAGTTATTAAGGATGTTTGCTACTCTTGTTTTTTACTTTTTGTCAGAATCCTCTAGTTTTATCCATGTAGTGTCTATAAATTTTTTGTCCGCTATTCTGAATCCTCTAATTTTATCCATGTTGTTTCGTTATTTATATACAATATACTATCAATTTATAACAATCTTTTAAAAAGCTAGTTATTTTGAAACACTGAGTGAACATCCTTATAGTAATTATGGGTCCCGTGACTGTTATCCACAGGAGTCTATGCTCACCACCTGTTTTTGTCATAGGTACTTCGGGACAGGACAATTTTGTTTAGCCCTCCCACTTTTTTTTCTAAAATCCGTTATTTTTTTTGGTTTTCTATTAATTTCGATCATTTTCGCGTGTTTATGTATTAAATGTACATAGATATACTAGAAATGACTTGTATTTGCTATTTACAATCAATTCCAAGTTTACTATCCGCAGCGGTCACTGAGTGACATATTATATTAAAGATATCAGTGATCGCTGTGAAAGTAAACGAGTCGGGGCAATAAGACCCTTATTTGGCCCAAATGTTACTGCAAATTTAAAAGTTATCATACATATTCTTAAATATGTCCTAACTAAACTAAGGTACAAGGTATTCAGAAAATAAAAACAAATTTCACATTTTACGAGTTACCATGGCAACAAACCATGACGAAATTTGTATATTTTGAAAAAAAGTCTCAACTTTCCTTGTTTTTCATCAAATTTTAAGTATATTTTAGATTGGCAAAGTATGTGCGCACCCAAGAAACAACTTTATATTTGGTGAGATTATGTCAATAGTTACGATAAGGGAGCTACCATTTGATTTTTATGGGGGCTAGGATGAAATTTGAAAAAATAGGCAGGACAGGAGTTTTGAGTAAAAAATAAAGACAGGATGAGACACTTGCAAAAAAAAATGTCAGGATGACAATTTAGGTAAAAAAAGTCAGGATAAACTTTAAAAAAAAGGCAGGACCGAATAGATTAAAATAAAAAGGCAGGACAGAGCTTACAACTATAAAAATCAAATGGTAGCTCCCTAAGCTTCTCTTAAATTTTTTTGTTGTTTCTTAGCTGCGCACGATATTTCCACAATGGAAATAACGACGGAAAACTACAAAAATTCTGTATTTTTCATCGTTTTCATAAAAACGGTACATATTATGACGTAATCGTGACGTCATCAGATAAATAATCTTATGTTTTTCATTGATATTTCTCGACTGTGTCCATTTCAAAAAATTATGTGCCAATTTGAAATAGTTGTCAAACATTTTATTTTCTTAGGCCGAAACCGGCCCTTAATACCCCTACTCTTTTGGAATTGATAGTAAATAGCAAATACAAGTTATTTCTAGTATACATAAACACGCGAAAGTAGTTGAAATAAATAAATGATAAATAAATAACGGATTTTAGAATAAAGGCGGAGGGCTACATAAAGTGTCCTGTCCCCAAGTTCCTTTGGTTTTTGTATTGATGGACAGAGAACATATTTCATTTTTCACTTTCCTCCGATTTTTCAATAATTTTTCTATAGAAATTCTTCAATACAAAGGGAAAATATTGAAACACATTTTAGATTGAAAAATTGAAAGTATCGACAAACAGGAAGTAGGTGTCTGACAAATTCAAAAAGTGCTCACATGTTACTACTCATCACTGTCAAACTCATGACTTAATATAAAGTCATGTGTAAAGAAGTACTGAGAAAGGTGTGACGATAAATTTTAGTTCATTTAACATAGTGAAAGTTCAAAGTTAAACAAACATGAAGTAAGTGTATGACAGATTCAAAAAGTGCGCAAACGCTGTCAAACTGCCGATCAAGATCAATATGAAGTAATTCTGTGGAGTGAATAATAAAACAAAAAGTGACGGAAAATTATATTGGACGAACGGACGCACAAGGTGAGTGCAATATAGCCCACTCTAAGAGTTGTGGTTGGTATAATATTTTTCGAAAAATTAGGTTTATTGTTTATGTACATTTTCTAGAGCTTACCATTTTTTTTACCTTTTCTATAATATACTATTCTAAACATACCTCTGTCATAACCATGGCTGCCTGTATTTAATTCCCTGAGATCGCTAACCTGTAAAATGTAAAAAAAAAAAAAAGAAAGAAACAAGTTCATTTGTACCGTGTATGTTCGTTCTAGTTGTACAACTAGTATCTGGTTTCATATTTGCACATAATGGAACAGTCAGCAATTATTTTATAAGAAGTATTATTTTCCGAAGTTCTCGTGTTTATCTTAAACTTGTAGGTTCAAGGTCAAATGACACTTCTTGTAGATATAACGGTTAAGTTTCATACTATCGACTCGAGTGTTGCTGTCATGTCAATGATGATGAATGATGGATGGCTGTTAAACGCCTAGTAGTAAATTGGATGCAAATTAAGGACGAGAACATGTTTATTTCAGATATTAACATAACCCCTGCTTTGTACTAGACCTACAGACTGAGCCTAATTGTTTACGTGTTAGTTCACAAAGGTACCGGACACATTATTTTTACTCCGGGCCAACCTATCTTTGGTCTTACTCCGAAATGCCGCGTGCTAAGCGGAGAAGCAGCAAATGCACATTTCAAAAATATTAAATTAATATTTTCTAACACTGTACAGGCACTGCAAAGATAAGGAATGTAGCAGAGAGGGGGGACATGTTCCAGAGGAAGACATCTTTTTGAAAATATAAAACTCATAGAGATCTTTTCCCTGTTAACGTGGAATGTAAATATAAAAATAATAAGATTTGATATGATTGCTAATGTGACAATTCTCCTACAGAAACCAAATGACGTATGCCATTAAATGTTGGACTAATTAGAAAAATAAAAATGAGATGCTTTGCTCGGGAGTAAGGAAAATTGACCTTACCTTTTTCAGAGGAAAAAAAATAAATTAGAAATTGTTTTATGTAAATAAATCCGAGCATACTTATCAATTTAATAATTACGTAATAACTAAACTGAAACAGTTATTAAAGGTTATTCATTATCATATGTTTCTCAAGCGTTTTCATGTGTTATCCATTCATTTTTCGCATGTAACATGCGGATCTAGGATTTAAAAAAAAGGGGGGATCAACAAGACAACGTAAGATGGGACTTATAAAAGGTCTATGTATTAACTAACAAAAAGGGGGGGGGGGGGGGGTCAACAAGACAACGTAAGATGGGACTTATAAAAGGTCTATGTATTAACTATATATGAAGCTACATCAAGGGGACCCTGATAGCACAAAATCGTCGAAAATTAATTCGCCTCGCTACGCTCGCTGGAATTTTCATAATTTATGGATAAAAACGCACCCCTTTCCTCGAAACTTGGATCATTCTAAAAATGCACGAAATATTAGCCACTGGACGTTAATCAAACAACAATCAATCGATCGAAACTTGGATTCGCCAAACAGAACCTATTTATTGTGTCAATTGTTAATGTATTCTCTTTCTGATTATACCACTGGATGTAAAACAAGCAATGATTGAGTTAAGCTATTTCAGTTGATATTTTATAGTGTGTCTTTCTATGTTGTGATGTTACACTATTGTTTCAGAAAAAGGGTGAATGTTTGGTACCATTAAAACGTTTAAACCCGCTACATTTGTTTGCACCTGTCCTAAGTCAGGAATCTGATGTTCAGTAGTTGTCGTTTGTTGATGTGGTTCATAAGTGTTTCTCGTTTCTCGTTTTTTATATAGATTAGACTGTTGGTTTTCCCGTTTGAATGGTTTTACACTAGTAATTTTTGGGGCCCTTTATAGCTTACTGTTCGGTGTGAGCCAAGGCTCCGTGTTGAAGACCGTACTTTGACCTATAATCTTTTAATTTTATAAATTTTGACTTGGATGGAGAGTTGTCTCATTGGCACTCATACCACATCTTCTTATATCTACTAACAATTGATAATTCGGTAAACTCCATAGAAAAACATTATTAAACTACGTGTCAGTGTAAATAAACATTTACACACAAGATGTTTGACCTCATTATGTGTACGAATTGTTTAACTAAGATACTTTGCACTATCTTAGTTTACACGAAGTCTTAGTGTCAACTGAAGGTACACATTAATTTACATAATCTTTTTATACCTGTTTATACCATCAAACTTTAGTAGTAAATTATAGATAACTTAGCAGTAATTTAGAAGGATAAAACATTCTGATTAAAGTACATTTCACTGACAAGTTAGGAGCTTCAGAATATGGACGACTTCTTATTTTATAGGTAGTTGGGCGTAATGAAATCATTAATAATAAAAGTTTAATAATATGTTCAAAAATTGTAATATCTGTAATATTTGTTCTGTATGTTTTTTGTGAGGGCCTCAAGGTAGATTAGTGAATGCTAATTGAGTCACCCTCTTTAAATAAAGTCATTATTATTATTATTATTATTATTATTATTATTATTATTATTATTATTATTATTATTATTATGAAATCAAGCGAAAAATGAAGTTTTTCCCCCTTTTACGACACTACTCAGGTGAATTATTTTTTTTAAAGGATAATTTTCACGTATATGAAGTTGAAAAATTTAAATGGACGAACAAGACTAGTCTTTGTCTACGAGAACATCGTTTCGTAACATGATTATGTGTTAATATAAATGTTTAATAAATTAATCACATCATGCAAGCTATACATTTGAATAACAAATGTCCCGGCTAAAAACTAATACTTATATACAATTTTTAAGAAGAAATTTAAACCTATGTTTTGGAAGTACAGTTGCATTACGGTTCATAAAGAGCTGACTAACTTTTTAGCGATTTTGAAATAAATATAATTTCCGAAATCCGGAAATCTGAATTTGACTTTTTAAAAGGTGATTTCATTCTTTTTCCCCAGTATAGTCTAATGAACAGTTTTTAAGGAATTGATTGGCAAGGTTTAGGGTGTATGTTTTTTTTCAATTTAAAGGTTATTGTGGCCTTTTGTCGTAGTTTTTAACTTCGGATTAAAAAAAGTCGCCTACAACAGCAAAAGAATAGAATGTACCACTAAAACTTTGGAAATGTTTATACTACATATAAAATACGAGAGACGAAGGGTTGAATGGAGTATAGAATTATGGGTATCCTGGTCTACTTCCAACCGGCAGTTGAACCCTTACCAATGTGTGTGCGTGTGGGGTGGGGTCCGTTTGGAGACGTTAAATCCAGAACCTGTTGTAGATTTGATGCCACGCTCTCTGCACGTTAAGAACTCTTGTAACAACTCTTAAAGAGGGGGGGGGGGGGGGTATTAGCCTATTACAAGCCTAATTGATGTCGGTATCCAATATAAACTCCAATTTTCCAGTGGCATCCCAAACCACCAATCTTCCCGATCAACCCCTATTGCAGGACCTACCTATTGAATATACTGTTAATTTGTTCCCGTCCCGAACATGCCTGAAAATCCAGATTTTAAATTTATATCAATAAAGTCTTTGACTTTGATTTTGAAAAAAATTCCACTGGACATGAAGCAAGCAACAGTCATCATCAATACTTGATACGAAAATCTAACCCTGTGTATACTACTCTCCAAAAGGGAGGTTAAATGAACCAAGCAAGCAGACACATGGTTACCGTATTGCTGAATTCAATACCAAACGAAACAAATCAAAAACTCACCGACTTCTGTTCAGCACGGTATCAAGCGTTTAACCGATAATACATGTACTATATAGTGGTACAATGTACTGAGCATTTATCTCTATAGCCGTTTTAAAGGACAGATATATCATGCTTTTTATTTTGAAAAAATTGAGACACAACGCTGATAATTTGTTCAAATTCCAGTGTTACCATGTTGTTAAAAGCATGGTATAGGTAACACATTTACTCTTATCTAACCTTGAATCATCTAAAAAGGTAAAATTAGTCCTTGCCGATTTTATTTCACAGATAGATGCACTGATGGACAATTATAGTTTTGTGCAATTTCTCCCTCTCACATTTTTTACATTTATAAACAAATTTTTTCCTGTCAAGTAATATGAATGATGACGATAAATGAATCTATTTACTATAACCATTTAAACAATTATATTCAAACGAACATTTGAAATTAGTGCAATTTGATATATCCAGGATAAATTCAAGGAGAATTTACAAAATCACATGTACAGTAATTACTTGCCTCAAACTATGCAAATGTTCCCATTTCTCACTTAGGGGTTGGTATGAACATTTTCTAGTATTTGGGACGTAAATAAAGTGTTCATATGTGCTCTATTAACACAGTTTGTAACCATTATAAATTTAACATACACAACTAGCGTCCTACGGTGTCATTGAACTCAATTTACAACATGTGCTGATCAGTAATTCTACATATCAAGTTATTTCTGTAATTTTAAAAATGATTTTTATTCAATTACAGTTACTTGCAGTATCTCTTGAAGGAATTGTAAAATGTATTAAGAATAAATCAGAGAAAAATACTGTTCTTACCTTTGAATGGACACGCCCCTTTCACCTGTGTCTATAGATAACAGCTAACTTATCACATTTTTAAGTTTAGCTACAAAATCAGTACTCCTCGTCTTACTGAAGACTAAAAAATATACAGAACTGCACAATGCAACGCAAGCATGTGCCAAATCGGTCGGCCGACTTAGTTTGTTAGTGGAAACCTTGACCTGTGTCCCAAATAGAAGAACACATTAGGATACTAAAAGTACACAGATAGAAGTTTGTGATATAACAAAGCGACATATATTACTAAAAAAATAAAATTATATTCATGTGTCTTTACAAATAGAAATGATAATTAGTGGACCTGAGAAATAATTTATTCGTTAGTAAAAACACATTGCACACATTCAATTATCGTAGTATCTCGTTTGTATTTCAAATCATATACTGAGTGATAAAAGAAACGCAACCCTTACATGTATTTTTCCGTTTATTAAAATGCATGCTCAAATTAACATTGTTTTGTTATATATATTGTAATTCAGAGCTGACTTAATAATTGCTTACATCCACTTCATTTAAACTCTGGTGGATAGTTGTCTCATTGGCAATCATACCACATCTCCTAAGAATATATTCATAGTTATGGTTTACTTGTGTCGATCCAATTCAATTTACTTTGAGTAAATTAAATATGTTTAAACTAAAATAAAATTATTCGAAGTCGTCCAAGAGGGCCAGGATGGGGGATCCTTCAATTCTGTATTCTTTTTTTTTTCTATCTTTTTGGTCATTTTCTCTTTTTTTTATTTGTTTTCCTAATAATTCTTTCTTTTTTGTATTTAAAAACCCCATTATTCTCTATTCTATATTTTGTATGCCTATTTTTTTCTCTATTCTTTATTTATTTTGGCCATGTTTCTGTACTATTGACCCGTTATTCTCTACTCTTCTGTAAACCCCATTCAGACCCGATTCTTTTAAGATTTCGAAGACATTTTTTTCAAAGTTAGAACAAATGTTTTCAAATTCCAAATTTTTAATATGTTTACCAAAAACGAAAAACAACGAAATGACCAACAGCCACAAAACGCAACGTAGGAAAAACAAAAAATTTAGAGCTACACGAACCCCACCAAAAACTGTGGGTGATCTCAGGTGCTCTGGAAGGGTAAGCAGATCTTCCTCCGCATTTAAAAAAGGAATGAAAATTATGAATACAACTCATAAAAGATCACAGGCTTAAAATTCCATACGCAAGACGCGCGTTTCGTCTAAATAAGGCTAATATATGGTTCTCGGATTAAAACAGTTGCATTTTGATGTCAAAGTCAAATACAAAGTTGTAGAGCTTTAAAAGCAAAGAAAATCTAATACTGCTCAGAAAATTTATAGCTGGGGTAAAAGCCTGAGAGTGTCGAAAAAAGTCAATATTTTTTAAGCAGTAAATTTAAGTAAAAAAGGAACATATCAATATATCATGATATTTCATGTCAACGCAAAAGTGCTTACTACTGGTCTAGTGATACCCTCGGGGACGAAACGTCCACCAACAGTGACATCGACCCAGTTTTGTGAGTTTTGATTCTGATAAGTCCGACTTTGTAGTCTGCTCCATTTGACATGCTTGTCGTGATGTAGGAGATCTTTAAGGGGTCATGTTTAGATGACCTATACGTTTTTTTTTTAATCAACTAATCATGTTGAGATACAAGATTGCACTTTAATAATACATTTTTACCCGCAACATAGGTTAGCACAATCGAAACAGCTATATGAATTTAATGGTTTATCGACTTTAATCGAATTAAAATTAAAAAAAAGGGAATACGATAATAATTATAATTTTACTGTTTACAATTTAGTCGGCGGTGCTACTGTTAATTGTAAATAAGGTTATATAATGGGATTTTATTTACAACTGTGTGATGAGTTTGAAGATTTCATTTTGTTTTTTACTGAGTATATATCTCCCGGTTGATACGATATTCCAGGGCTTGTATTTCCTATCATGATTTCCTTGATAGAGGGTTGCACCTAACAAGGAAACTGTTAAACCAAGTGGTGAAACTAGACATCGTTTGGAATGGGACATGTATAAGTTCTAAGTATTACCTCTGCTTATCTTGTAGATGAATAACTGTCCTCCATTAACTACTCTGGTAAAGTGCTTCTTTAGCTCAGTTGGTAGAGGGGTGGCTTACTGTCCTAGGGAAGGGGGGAGGGGTATTTTGTATCTATTACGCGGTAAAAATCTAGGTCGTATGCTGGGATATATTACATTATTATTACCGATATTACTCCCATGATGTAGGGGATACATATGTACCAATAACCAATATTGGTCTATCATAGTCATAATAATTGACTTTTGTACTGCTCGTTTGCTGGAAACCTTCCTTCATAGGAAGACATCCAAGCAAAATGTCATAAATAGATCTGAATTTTATTATTTGTTCTTGTATGTACCTTTTATTAATCTTCTAATCTAGATAAACAAGAGTGGGAAGGTTTAATAGCTATATTTTAACAAGAGTGTACAAGCTGAAATGTCTCACCTCTTTACGTATGATTGAATGTATGTTGAAAGTCTGTAATATGAAAGTTTAACTACACGCATCATATAAACTTAACATTATCAATGATCCATGGATGAGGACAAGGTCAGACGAACCATACCAGACAGACATGTTCACCTAACAATCATTCCATACACCAAATATAGAGGTCCTATTGCTTATAGTACTTAGAAAACAGACCAAACCAAAACTAACCATTGACCAATGAACCATGAAAATGAGGACAAAGTCATGTCAACTCGCCAGACAAACATGTACAATATATACCTATCATTCAATATATTTAACGCATGTAGTATCTGATAAACTGACAAAACCATGAAAAATTAGCATTGATCAATGAACCATGAAAATGAGGGCTAGGGTCAAATGAAACTCGCAAGACAGACATGAACACCTTATTATCATTCCATATGCAAAATATAGTGGCACTACTGCTTAAATCATCTGAAAAATAGACCAAACCATAAAAAAATAAATGTCGTCCTTTGAACCATGAAAAAAGGTCTAGGTAAGATGAAAACTGCCAGTGTCGGACATGTAACACATTATAATCATTCCATACACCAAATGTAGAGGCCCAAATGCTATAGTATCTGAGAAATTGACAATACCACAAAAACTAAATATGTCCATTGAACCATGAAAAAAAGGTCAAGGTCAGATGAAAACTACCAGTCGGACATGCACACCTTACAATAATTCCATACACTTAATTAAATATAGTTGACCTATTATTTATATTATCTGTGATGCAGACTTGACCATTTAAACTTTTAAAACCTTGATTACTGATCCATAAAATGAGGTTTGGGTCAGGTGAACCCTGTCTGGCATGCATACCTTGCAAGGAAGCCAAATACCAAATATAGTTATCCTATATAGCTATTACTCATAATAAGTGAGTATTTCACATGAGAAAAAAGCATAATTTTTATTCAAGTAGTCACTGAACCATAATCATGAGGTCAAGGACAATGGACATTTGACAGACAGAAACTTAATATCTAAACATTAGGTATCTGCGTACAAAGTATGAAACATTTAGGTCTTCTACCTTCTGAAATAAAAAACTTTATTCAAATAGTTTACGCTACCACCTAATTATGCTGATTGTATCCCTATGTCCCGCTTTTTGCGACGAAAGTCTAAAGCGACACACAACTAGATTAATCCTATTACATTTCATGTACCTGTCCCAAGCCACGAACCCTGTTGTAATTTTATTAATTTGGAGAATGGTGGGTTAAAAGCATATGGAACATCTATATAAGTATAGATGTGGTACATAATTTATAAAAATATGTAAAAATGTGGTATGATTGCCAATGAGACAACTCTCGACAAGAGAACAAATGACGCAGACATTAACAACTATATGTCAAAGTATAGCCTTCAACAATGATTAAAACCCATACCGCATAGTCTGCTAAAAGGCCCCGAAATGACAAATGTAAAACAGTTCAAACGAGAAAACTAACGGCCTGATTTATGTACAAAATAATGAACGAAAAACAAATATGATATACAGCAACAAACGACAACCACTGAATTACAGGCTCCTGACTTGGGACAGGCACATATAGAATATGGCGGGGTTAAACTAGTTTGCTTCATACCCTAGTTTGGGTTCTATTTCAAGCCATGGCGGCCATATGTTTGTCCATAGGCAGGAACAAAAAACTTTTCTTCTAGATAGCCTTAAGATTATTCAGTTTGACATGGCTAACTCTGGTTGAAATTGATCCAGTGGAGATTTTTGTAAAGGTTTACAACCACAATTTCAAGATAACTACAACTGACGCAACTTGATGGCAATAGCTCCATTGGCCCCAAAGGTTTATCCGTTCAAATAAAGACAGAGGAAATATATCTATTACTTGCTCTTCTGCACTGCATTGTATTTAATGAACTTATAGCACTGTCAACATGTACAATGTAATTGATGAACAACAAATCTTTTTGTTCATAAGTACATCAGCTTGATTCATTTGTGATCTGATGATCACCATGACATGTAGAACTAATTTCTAAACTTCTCCTGGAAACCAGATCGTTCAAATATGTTTTCATAAAGAGTTGCACATATGGAATGTCTTGGACTAGGTTCCACTGCTACGAAAGATTTTCAGAATGTCTGTTGGTTTTAAGTCTGTATACGACTGTTACAGTGCATAAAGGAAAAAGGCTTTTTTTCATTGTTAGCAAACAATTGGCATTTCATGGCATATCTATTTATTTTGCGGCCGAACATTGCCAAATGCATATTTCAAAAAACCCGAGAAACACATAACTATTAAATCCAAGCACAAAAAGGGAAATGTTTTGCAAATCCATACATTTCTCAGTTTAATCACTTATTGGATTTTCATACTGTTTGTTTTGGTATTCATATTCTTTGATAACTTTACTGACTTGTATGATCAGTACATGTACTTCTAACTTGGAAAACATTATTACAGCGGTACAAAATGTGTTTAAAAGTTCATCCTTATTCTTTACGTTTTTTGATGAAAATGCTGTTGCTTCCAGTTGATACAGATTCTAAAGCTGAGCATGTGTCTGGCCATTTCTTTATGTCTTGCATGTATGTGAGTTACTCACAGTGACACTCAATTTTCATTTCCCCAAACTTTCTGTGTCTGATTCCTTTTTAT